ATTGAGTAACACTGTATAATTGATTATTGAAACAATCTCTGTTTATTTGCCAATTGATCGATCGAACACACTAATTTCTTTATTTAAATGCACTTTCAACAGTTTATCAGCTATGGCAAGTGGTATCTCAAATTCAAACCACTACGGTGACCGCATTATAAATAACATGGATTGCATTTTCAATGGCAATGGCAACGGTAGCACAATAAGCCACTACAACTTCTATATCAATGACAAAGGGTACAATCATCAATTACCAGAGGCAAAAGCAGTAGTACAGCCAACAATAACCTACTATTTCACCAACTTTCCTGAGGAGTATGGTGTGATGGAAATGCAGAAAAGGTTTACTAGATTCGGATGGGTGATTTACGTGTCCATTCCCAAAAAGAGAGACAAAAATGGAAAGAGGTTTGGCTTTGTTACATTCAAAAATGTAAGACAACCTACAGAATTGGAGAGAAGACTTAATGGGATTCGGATTGGCACTAACAACATAAGAGTGAACTTGCGCAAACATAAGAGTGAGATGAATCTGCATTGCAAGAGGAATTCTAATGTCCAGTGGAGACCCAAAAATGATTCAATAAAAGAGTCAGAACACAATGTGCGAGGTAACATGTTCCTAATTCATTTTAAAGCAGATGATCAACATCTTCCTTCATGGACAAAAGATTATGGTGGTAAGAATTTTGATGAGGCAAGAATTTTGATCACAGCATCTTCCCCCCAGAATAGAACAATTAATATCGAAATCAATGGATCGATATCTAGTATCAGGGTTTATTTTAGTTACCTCACTGGTAAATAACAATTATTTGAAGAATCTCCTCAGAATAGCATCATGAACATGGGTGGTGAAACTTGCACAACTGTGTTCATCTTCAGTTGTTTCTTGACTCCGAATCATCCTAATTCAAGTTGCGTAGATAAAGGAAAAATAGTTCACATACACTTCTTAGGTATATATATTTAGAGAGACAGAAAAAAAAAAGAAAAATACATAAATATGAATAGAAGAGAAGGAGAGTAAAATGAGTATTAAACTTATTCAAAAGTTGAATATGGTTCACATACACTTTTTTTATTTGTAGTTTGTTGATTTTTTGTAATGATTATTTCCACAAGTTATGTAGCCGTTGAATTTATAGAATTGATATCTTGTGTATTATCTTTAATGCAAATGAAAGTTATAACGTGAATATCTAAATTTTGTTTAAATTTTTTTATATTTATTATTTCAAATTTTTGAATTTATTTTTATAAAAAAGAAATAAGAACAAAATATCTTAAAAAAATAATTTATTTTAACAAAATAAAAAAATTTAGATTTAACTTTAAAATTGAAAAAAAAACGTTGCAAATAATTGAACTTATAAATCAATGTTTACTTTATAAATTTTTATTTTAAAAAAGATTAGACTAAATTCGTTTACAAAATAACTTAATTCCTTTATTCAAATTAAGAGTTGATTAAAATTATTTTATTTTATGAAATTAATCAAATAGTGACTGATTTACTGAATAAATTAAAGCTTCATTGTAACTTTTAAATACATTTTAGTTTGTAGATCACTAAGTGCAGTTTTCTTAAATTTTTTAAATTTATATAAAATTAGAGCTTTGCCTTGCATTTGTTTTTTTTTTAAGGGTACGGTATTTTAAAGTATTGTAAAAAGATATTTACAACATTATTTGATTAGTAAAAAATCTTGCGTGAAAGCTCAAAAACTGGCAGGGAATGTAGGTCACAAGCATAGTTAGTGACCAAACCAAGATAAATTAGTTTGTGTTTCTCTCTTCTTCTTTTTTTTAATTTTTATCTTCTATTTACATTTTTGTTCATATTTTATTAGTTTATTGTATTAGTTTTTTTTTTACTATTAGTCAACTTGTATCTAAAGTTTACAAACATACTCTAAATTTTTTGAACTCAATTCATTTTCTTAGAGATGAAAGTCATTTGAGTTACATATACACAGAGCAATAGAAGAAGAAAAAAATTATAAAACATAAAATAATTTTTTAAATAAGATTATATTATTCAAGAGTTATATATAGATAAAAAAAGAGTTTTATAGAATTAATATTAATTGATAAAAGAAAAATCCTTAAAAAAGAGAGAGATATATTGTTAAAAGAAAATTAATTACTTTACGTTATATATTTATACTTTATTTCTTTATTTATTCGATATCTCATCAAGGGTTAAAAGAATGTAGATATCAGATGTATATTTCTAAAAGAACGTTTCTAATGAAAAAACAAGATATGACACACATGTATATACATAAAGTTGTTTCTGTTTTAAAAGATTAAGTACTTTTATGCGTGTGTTTATACTTACAAATTTTTAAAATATTGAAATGAACATTCCTTTTTAAAATAAATTTAAATTTAGTTTTTTAAATTATATTAATTAAAAATTTAACCTTTTAAGATTAAAAATTTTATTTCATAATTGAGATGCATGCATGTCTCATAATTTATGGAAAATCAACCACAAAGATAATACCTATTTTGTTGATGACTTTATTCTATTTCAATATTAATAATAAAGAATATGTATTTATTAATTATTAATTATTTATAATTTTTATTAAAAAATATTTGTTTATTTTTAAAGAATTAAATAAGAAAAAAAAATTGCAGCTGCAAGGGAGCTGCGTTTTCAGCCTCATTTCACGTCTATGAAGGTTCCATGGAAATATGCATATTTGAGGTGTAAATTTCAGAGAAATCAAATAAATTTAACCCTTAAAATTTCAATCCCTTAAATTTGACAATCTAAAACTAAAGAAAACGTTGAAACAAGAAAAAGTTGTAAAGTTCTTAACAGTTGAAAAGGTAGAGCAAAGAGTGAACTCACTTACCTTATGTCATGGAGTTTCTCTGCATAAAATTACAGGTTTCATCTCTCCAAGTATATGTACGAAGATATTGACCAATCTTGTTTAATCATTCCCTTCTTCAAAATTGAGTTAGTGCCCATTTTCTATCAATCTCGAAGCTACAGTGACTCTCTGGAATGAATAATAAAGCATACAAAAAGATTGGATCCGTAATGAACATTCAAATCGTGGATAAGATTGGACATGTCCCTGGAAAATGTAAAAGACACATGCAAAACACAGTGGCCATGTTGGACTTGGTTTTTAGAAAAAACAAGAAGAGAAGACCACTTATTTAATTATAATTTTTTTACTTTAAAATTATAAACATTTTACATCAAATTTAAATTTAAATTTCTTTTATTATTTTTTTCTCTTCCATCCACTCCACTGTTCAATCTTTTTCCCAATTCTTGACAACAACAAAAGTTTAGAGAAAAGGACAAACCATTGGTGGTCTCTCCACGTTCTCCATGGCTGAATAATATGTACAAATACAGTAAATTTTGAAAATTATAACATTGCATGAGCACATGAATAATAAGTTTCTTTACCTTTTAATTTAACAGCTTTAATTTTAATATTTATTTAAAACATATTATGACTAATTATCGTTAAATCAATTTATTTTTAACTACATGATTATTTTATAAATTTTAAAGCTAAATAATTTAATTTAAAATAAATTTAATCATAGTTTTAAACCAATTCAAATTAAAATACTATTATATCTTTTATTTTTATCTGATAGAACAATTTTTTCTTCTAATTTATTTAAATCTTAATTAATTTTTTGGTTTCAATAGAAATTGCATGATTTAGATTTTGTCTCTATAAATTTTTTTATTACAATATATTTTCTATTTTTTCTTGTGTGTTTTGTTGTTAACTATTTCGGTTAATGTAATTCAAAATTAAAAACTAATATTTAACTATATTTTAGTAAAAATATTAATTCAATAGACTATAAGTAAAAAAAAGAGTAAAGACTGTATAGTTGACATACTTGCACGTAATGCTTAGATTTAGATGCATGGTTTCTTTGTATAATATTAAAATATTTATTAGCCATGTCTATCACATAACTTAGTTATTTTTAGATGCAAACTATATATATATATATATATATATATATAAGCCTCATTAAAATTATACTTATATCATGCATAAATAATTTTGATAAATACTACAATATATGCTCGAAACAAATGTTAAGATGAGACTTTTTAACTAGTGATATAATTTATTAAAATTGTTATAATTTTGATTTACAAATTATTTTTGAACTTTTTAGATGTAAAATTCATGTAGAATCATGATGCTTTTCATTTAATTAAGTTCTTTAAAATCTTAAAAATGTACGTTAAAATTAAAATAAGAGAATTAAATTTAAAATTAAAGTTGTTTGATAATTTTACAAGTCAAAATAGTTTTATAAAAACTCTAATATTAGAATATGTAACGAAAGGAAACGAGAAAAACTTGAACATGTAAAAACATTTGTTTGGTTCTAGATAACTTATTGTTTTAAATAAATTAAGTTAAATAAAACACTCTTGCAGCTAGAAGGGTTTTTATTTTTTAAAAATACTTTTGATAAGCTAATATTATTTATTGAAATCTTATTAGTTTTTAAAAGCATAACAAATAAAAAGGATTAGAGATTTTTTAAATATATACTCTTTTCCTTTCAAAATAAAAATTGTTTAAAAAAAATAAAATATAAGTAGTTTTATAAAAGTAAAACTACATATTTTATTTTATTTTATTTTAAAATTTACATTAAGACAAAAAATAGTATGATAACTAGTATTTAATTAGATAAAAAATGATTTATTAATTATGAAATTTAACAAATTATTTATTTATTTTAATATTTATGTAACAACTTGTATTTAAAAAAAAAAGTATGTCATATCGTTTTGTGAGTAAAATATCACAGGATTAAGAAGTATGTCATAATATTAAGGATTAAAAATAATTACTCAAAATATATCGATAACAAAATCTTAATTTTAGATTTTGATTCTAGAAAGTAACCATTCAAAAGTAAATTTCCGTATTGATTATTATTCTAATAATTATACTTATTCTACCATCCGTGTCGTTAAAAGACAATTACTTGATTTCTTTGTTTCTTGAAGGCTCTTAAATACGACTAAGTCCACTGACTTTCTGGACTTTCTATCACATTTTTCTTCAATACACAAAAAAACTGTAACTTTCTTACATGTGTCACTAAGTTAATTCCACCCGTTCTGCTCTTCACTTGTATGTACGCCGTCCAGAGACTTGACTAAACTGATTCTTGATGCTTAGTTGAGTTGAGAATAGACATCAATAAAATATGAAACTAAAGATACTTTCTTTTAAATGTGTATTATATGACTGCTGAAATTCCACTATCTACTGGAAATGCAAATGGGCTGTCCGGGAGATTCAGTCCTTGGTTTCTGCATAAAATAATTTTTTTTAAAATGAATCAAAATTTGAATTGTGTTTAGAAAAAATTGCTTGTTTAGTAACTATAAAGGATTAAATGATTCATACCTGTCATTGTCAGTGTAATTGGCATTTGTAAACCCCGCTTTGTCATTTGGAATATGAAAGAAAGATTCTGCAGACTGGACATTCGAATGAAAGAAAGATTCCGCAGACTGGACATTGAAATGATCTGTTTGAAAGATGCAAGAGATTACAGCAGTAAGGACTAAGGACAGCAAAGCCAAATGTAATAATGTAACTGGTTATGCAGATATGAAATCCATGTTAGTACATTACTACACACCATCAGAAACTTGTAATCTATTCATGTTGAAGTCTATGTGCGGTGGATTGGAAACGGAGTTTTGGGCCAGTTGCAGTTCTGCAAGATGCCTTCTCTGAAATTCAAGGGCCTCCTCTTGCTGTTCAAATAGCCTCTTAAGAAATCTAGAGTTTCTGCAACTTCTTGAGACTATAAAACTAGTGTGTTAGTACAAAATCTTCTTACACGAGAGGAAACAGATTGAAAAGAGCATTTGCATATCATCGTATAATCTTATAGAACTTGAAAGGGAAGAGAAAATTCTAGGTTCCAAAGTAGGGAATATATCATGCTCACTTGAAGTAGGTTCAGAGTCAATGTCTACATAGTGTGTTGAATAACTAACAGATTGCTCCATTCTATCTTGGTGCTTCCTGAATCCAAATAGAAATGGACAGGGAAATAAAAGAAAAAAACATCAATAGTGAATAAGAGACTGTTGGCATCGAGAAGCTATATGATAATATTTATTCATGGTACTAACTAATTTCTCAGTTTACATGTTAAAGAATATATAGATAATAAAGTGAACAGGTGAGTTTTGAGACTTCAAATAACTATCCAATAACCACAATTTCACATGCACTTCAAATAACTATTCCCTGACCACAATTTCACATCATTACGAGGAATTATGATGCTAAACTTAAGACTTGTATAATTGTTTGGAAAGGACAGGATTGAAAATATTAGGATTCAGAGATGACAGTATAATCAGGATTACTGATGATTATACTGTCTTTGCAAGCTTTCAGCAAAAGCAATGAAGTTTAACGGGCACAGGCAAATTGGAATCCATAAAACTCAAATCAACTTCCAGTGGAAAGAGAAAGAGAATTGAAAGGAAAGAACAAACGAGGAATTTACTTGTCCATAAGTTTTGACTTCTCCTTGTAAGGTTTCACAAGAACTCGAGATCCACGAACATAATGTGGATTTCCCTTGGCCAAAATCATTTCAACAGTTTCAGAATTAACAAATGTCACAAATCCAAACATCCTTCTCTGTTGGCTTGGAATCCTTACATCTTCAACATCCCCAAAAGTGCTACACAGGAAAACATGTTAAAGCAATTTGAATTTTCAGACACAAACAATTAACTACCAAAAAGCGTTCCAATTAGAATGTTACATTCATTCACCTGAAGTAGTTTGCAACATCATCCTCAGTGAAAGTGCTGTCAGCTGGAAATGTCAGATATATTTGTCGCGATGCACTAATGTACTGACCAAAATCTAACTTTCCCTTGCACTTTGGAGCATCTTCTGCCAGAACCACTGAATGCTGCCCATGAGGCCTGTTTATCAACCCAGCAGAAGTAAAATTAGAGAAAGAACGATTTAGTGTATGTTTGGAAACACGTTAAAAAAAAATAAAATCAGTACGCATGGTTCTGATGCAAAAGCTACTGGCATGTTGAGATTCACCTTTGAATAGGATATGGATCCATGTTTTATTCAATACTACTAGTTGTATCTATGTTTACAGGCGATTTAATAATTCGAAATAGAATTAGTAATGTTGAAATAAATGTGAATCTTTGATCAATTAAGCATGCATGCCAGCATGCTATCAATCAAATTATAACATAAGAATACATAAGAAAATTCACAACTCTTCACCTGCCAATTAGCCGAATACTATTTTTCAACCGCGCAAGAAGCTTTGTCAAGCTGTAGCCAGACTTGCCATGCCTCTGGCTCTCAGTTAGGTAACCTTCTGCCTGCAGCACCTTTTTATACTTATCATAGTATGCCATTGGAAGGGAAGCAATTGACATGGGGTTGCCTTTTCTTAGTTTTAGGAGCTCAACGATTTCTGACTCTAACTGTGCTAGTGACCCTGGTGAAATCACCTGATCATCATTAAGACCATCATTTCCATACATCTGAGAGAATATGTCAGGAACAACTTGTCCATGATAGTATCTGCAGCTATTTCCATGCTTACAAAATCCTTTGTTGAAATAGTGACAGGTCTTAACTGGTAATTCAAACCTTCTACCAGGTTTTGAACCCATATTACCACCTGATGGAGCATCTAATCCAAAGCAATCATTGACAAATCCAACAGTCCCAGAATTTACAGTTTCCATTTGATTCTCTAAACAGAAAAATGGGGTCTGCTTTTGAAATTCTGAGATAGAATCCAAGAAACTTAATGGCATAAATTCAGAATTGGTATTACTAGTAGACAGAGTATCCCAGTAGGGAGATTGAACGTGGAAGCTTGCTGCAGAAGTAGGAGTGCTAGAGAAGATTGATGACAAAGGGCTTAAATCTTGTTGAGAGTTGATTGGAAGTGAAATTGGATGAATGGCTGATTTAGCAGCCAACCTTTGAAGCTCGGTCCGGGCCTTAAGCGCCACCTCGCGGATTAAATGGTCTGGGAATGATGCCAATTTAACCATGTCTTCCTCACCATGATCTTGCAGAAGGAGATATCCAATGATCTTTGTAGCATACTCTGGCTCAAATCTCTGAAGTTTCTCAAAAACAATCCTAGTGTACTGTGATATATCCATAGCTTTTATCTTGTCACTGCAAGAAGTTCCAACGACCATAACAAAAACTAGTAAACAACAGCCTAGAAAATAGGCATAAAGAAACACTATACTGCATCAATTATTCACTTCACATTGAGATTAATTCTAAAAATAAAAAATAGTCCCAATGTTATAATATAAGAAGAAAAAATTGCATACCTAACAAATGATAAAAATTGGCAAAAATTAAAAAAGAATAACATCTAATCAATCCTCCAGAGATTCAACAGACCCCATAAAACAAAAGGGATGTTCATCAACCAAAAGGTACCCTACTCCATGAATCTAGTCATAGGCAATTAGCAACCTATTATACGCGAAACACCCTCCACACTGCAATAGATTTTCCTTAGAAAGGAAATTTTTTTAATATATAGCAGAAATGGGTATTTTCTTTTCCTCCTAATTTGGAAATGAGTAGTAGAATAGGAACACACGCTGAGAAATAATCAAATGCACATAAGTGCAGAAAATTGTACGCATTAAAAGCATGCCTTCCCTCCAAGCAAATGATCATACTTCCAAGAAAACCACCCATCATTTGAAAAAAAAAGAAAAAAGAAAAAAAGGGCTCTAGCATTTCCAAATTTGAGTTCAAAGGGAGAGAAAAACGTAATCACACCTTCAACAATCTAAAAAATCCATTTTTTTAAACTAGATCAACAACTCAAACAAAAAAGCACATGAATGATTAAAATTCTAGCAAGGTTCATACCCATCAAACAGCAGGAGATAAACAATCTGCAAGTGCTTCAATCACAGATCTTTGCCTTACACTCAGAGAACTATATCATCATCATAAGTTCATAACCCAAAAAGCAAACACAGAAATGTTTTTGAAAAAGCCAAGAATCCAAATAGATGCAAACATCCAATTGATTATGCTCTATGTCTCTATGTATCTAAGTATAGGTGTTAAAAGCCCCTAACCAACACTCGCACACTAAGCACTAACACTCAGTTATGTGACTCTTTCACTGTGCTGTCCATCTATATTTAGCCTTCTTTAAACTCCTTTTTCTGAAAATCACACACAGCTGTTACTTAATCACGCATACAAGGCAAATTATTATGCTTAATCCCCGTAGTCCATAACTGCTTCTTGAACTACCACTCAGTTACCAAAACACCCTTTAAATTTTTTCTTTAGAAAAAAGAGAGGCTAAATTACTATAAATAATAAGTAATAACAATAATAATATTTCAGAAAAAGCAATGTGTTAAACTTAGGACTTGATCATATATGTAAAAGGCAACATGCATATGGCACAAATATAGATTTTTGTGGGGGAAAAAATTAAATAGGAAAGTGGGGCCCAGTTGAATCTGCACCACTGGGTTGGATCCTTTAGATTCTGAAACTCAAATTTTGTTAGTTTGGGACCATAGTAAGAGGAAAAATATGCACCTTGCGAGTTGGCTAACGGAAAAAGCTTGGTTTGTGGTGGAACATTCCAATTTTATTTGACAGAGGATAACACAAACCACTTAATGGGACAATACTATAATACCATATAAATTAAAATTGTATAAATGCAGTGTCACATAGCACGGTCACATGAAGCAGTGTCCATTGTTTCGTATCCTACTTGATTTGTTTATGTTGTGGTAAGTGGGGTCCATTTCTTGTTTGAGGGGGCCCCAAAACATCCAAGAGAGTTTTTAATCTGTTCTTGTTGGTGTAGCCACTTGATTAATTGTTTTTAAAGAGAAAAGCAACGAAAAATAGGTGTCTGATATTGACAGTAATTTTGGTGTTATTTTTTTTAATTCAAATTAGAGTTTTATTTTTTTTGCTCATGATGATATTTTTATTGCATATGTTATGAAATAAGATTCTAATTTTAGTTTTAAAAAATGTAAGACATAATTGCCCTTAAGTATTCTAATTTTATTTTTGCTTTTAACTTGATTCTAGTTTGTGAACTGTTTGATTTTGTTTGAGATCAAATTACATACACCAAACAGAATTATATGAACCAAATAAGTTATATAACATTGATCATATTCATGCATTTATGAATTCTAAAATTAATTTACATTGTTTGAGTATTCTAAATTAGTTTGTAATCATAAAATCATAATTAGTTCAAGTTTACTTCATTTAATTAACAATTAATGAGCTTAATTTTTATTTTTTTTGTTTAAGTTCAACTCTTTAATTTAGTAACTAAGTTTATTAAGCTAATTAATAACTCAAAACTCAAACTAATTTCAAGTTGATTGATTCATTTTAAATCATACCATCAAAGTGGTATATGTGGTTTTTTGTTTTCTAGTTCATTTTATCGTGTAAATCATTATTTTGTTATCAAAAAGTAGAAGGGTCAATCATTTTAGTTTTTCAAGAAAAAAAAATTAATGTCAACATTCTTGAAAATGTATATCAATCATTTTAAGGCATTAGAACTAATTATTAAACGTTATGTTATTCCCAAGTACTAAATTAATTCATATAAAAATACTCTTAGTAAATTTTTTATATCTGTTATACCTTGCTTTAAGACTTGCTACAATGAACCACAAATGACTTTTGCTTAACCAGTAAATGGAAGAAGAAAGATAGTTTTTATAGTGTAGTGTCTAATTAGAATAAACAAAGCTAAAACACATTTTCCAATAGTTTTTATATCTTCTTAGGAACTAACATGAAATAAAATTTATGTTTATAAAAATCAATTTGAAGTTTAAGGAGCTGATATTGACTATTTATTGTTATATGTTGTCTGACTATTTATAAGAATATATATATATATATATTGCAATAGTTCACTGATTACATTATTGAATTTACAAGCATTTTACTTAGAAAGAATGTCTTTTGAATTGTCATAGATTCTTACATTTCTTTTTTCAAAGATAAAATGAGGAGCCAGTGCAGATAACATGTAAATTATCTTGAGGGAGACGAATAAATCTTGACATTTTCCATATATATGACTACAACTCTTCTTCAAGTTATTTTATCTGCCAAGAAGAAATTAATTCTTGACAAAATTTTGCTCAACTTTCAGTGAATAGCATGTCTTCACATGCTTAAATAATAACTATGTTAATTATTTATAATTAGAAAAGGTTTATTTGAATTCATTAATGTTGATATAAATGGCTTTACTTTGATCAGATTATGAAAAAAGTAAATACAGTTAAAAATAGTATTATGCTGATTTATACATTTATTTAACATGGAGTAATGAAAATATGAAAAGGGTAGTTTGGGGATTTGTCAGGTTTTAATTGAGTGACCGAGTCAAGTGGTTGCAAAAAGAAGGAAGGGGCAAGATCCATACAAATTGACCGGGCATTTAACAATTGATTATTGACTGAGATTATCTAAAATTAGAGAAAAAAGGATGAAAATTAAGCCAAATGTGAACAGTGGAACTGGAAATTTTGTTATTAAATTATTGAACTTCATAACGCAATTAGCACTGATGAGGAACGACTAATCAGCTTATTTAATTCTTTTTTCTCATAACGAAGAGAAAAAGAAATTATATTAGAAAATGTTAGCAAACATTTAAAACACATAATCATCAATTCATCATCGATCAATTAGTTGTGACTGTGACATTGGCATATGTTTTATTTTTGTTTCATTAGCTTTTCAAATTTGGAAACCAAAAAGATGATTATGATACTATACATTGCCACTTTCTTTTGTTTTCATTCATGTTTTGCAAACTAATTTATTGATTCTTGTCCTATTGGAGTAAAATTTTTAAAAAAGTTTTTATATAAAATAATAAACTTTTTCTTGTAAGTTAAAAATAATGTATACTTTTTTTTAGTAATTTAACTTCTCTAAGGTTGAAAGAGAAAATTTATTTTTAATTTATAAAATAAATTATTTTTTTATATTAAAATTTTTTTCTTTTACGGAAACTTCTTTTAATGCAAACATAACCTATGTATAATAACATTATAATTCAAAGATTGATTTTGAAACTTGGATTTGATACAATATTTATTTATTAAATTACGAACATAATCTTTCAAGATGCATTTTTCTTCTTCTTTTAAACACTTGAATGATGAAATCGACCTCAAGGCTACGTACTCAAGAGATCCGAGCCCTCTCTAGGTAAATTATCACAAGTTAATAATATATGATTAGTGAGCTGATAATTGTGATAATTTTTCGTTTGGAATTTTTTTTTATCATCATTTTTTGTTTAGATAAACTGAAGCAAATGTTCATAACGTGGGGAGAAACATGTTTTAATGTTTTATTCAAAGAAATTACCAAAAACTAGTAATTGTTATACAGATGCATGTAAGAAATAAGTTACTATTTTTCAAGTTCAAAAGTAAATTATATTTAACTGATTTACTCTTTCACTTTATTAATTATCCAATTTTATGAAAATTAAAAAATCAAGGATCAAATTAAAAACAATTAACATGTTTAATTTTTTTAAGTACAATAATTCAAAATGAATTAAACTTATTATTATTATTATTATTATTTAAAATGAAAGATTTTTGTGGTACATATGAACAGGAGGGAAAGGATAACAAAAAGATGAGAGAGGGAGATTGTGATTTGTGAACAAGGTAAGACAGATGGCACACATTCATCCATATTTTAAGACACTTCCTCATCTTTTTTTCAATCACATTATCTATTGTTTATTCATCATTTTCCACAACTCAAATACACATTAACTAGAATCCAAGTCAATAAATTTTAAATATTCAAAGATAGGTATATATTTTTATATAGAAAAGGAAATAATAAATTTAAACTATACAATTATGTATAAATTATCAAAAATTAAAAATTAAAGTTGTATTATTATCTCTTTAAAAAGTTATAATTTTTTAACATATCCTCTATCTATAAAAGGAATTCGGTTTAAATATCATTACATCACCCACAAATTCATCCACGATTAAATGAATTTATAATTGTGAAATAGTTTATATATACAACTAAGAACCCGTTAACAATATTAAACATTAATTTTAGAAATTTAAGTTAATTATTAAATTAGTTAATTAATATTTTATAAAAAAATATTAAATAATATAAATATTTAAATTTAACACAATCTAAATTATATATATGTCTGTCAATGAGAATCATTTGGTCTCTTTATTTTACACTGTGAGAGGGAACAATCTTCCACGATTTTGTTTGAACAGACAATTTCTGAAGAATTTATTCTCTTAATATATAAAAAAAAACCCTACCACTCAAAGTGCTTTGTAAAATGCTTCTGTATATTTATTTAAACCAGCCGTTGAATGTGCTTTGTAAATTCTGTGAGCTCATTTATAATTGTTAATTAATGTGCTTTTGAAAAACTCCGTTGCATTAATTTAGCATTAATACAAACATACTGTTCATAGTGTCCCACATGATTTGGAATTGAAATAAAATTCTAAGTTCACATAATAAATATTATTATGATTTGTGTTCATTTATAAGCTCATTTATATATAACACACATACTGTTCCTAGTGCACCAATATTTAAAAAGAAATTTTGAATCAGATCCAAATGTATCATGATTTGGGTCCCCCCATCATTATGATCTTTTGTATATAAGAACCTTCATTTGTATATAATAACACTTATTATTTTTATAATTTTAGAGTTGAGTTTTTATATCTTAACATTATTGATTTCTAGTTTTATACCTAAGCCAATTTTATATTTTGATAGCAGTACAAATTTCCTTTTTATAATTGTCTAATATTTAGATGACTAATATTTTAATTGTTTCTCTTACATCCCTTTTTCCTGTTTTTTTTTTTTTAATATTTTCTATTTGTTTAGTTAATTTATTTTTATTCTCTTTCAATTCACATCGATTATTTATTTTATGTTTCAATTTATTTTAAAGATAACAATGATTAAATAAATTATAAAAATCTTAAAAACTTAAAGTGACTACTGATTTCTTCAATTGATAATTTTGATTGATTTTTAAAATTAAAATATTTAAAGAAAATAAGTTTTAGTTAATTAGCTAATTATATAAGAAGCAATTTAATTTTATTTAAAATTCATAAAAATCATGTAAAATAATAAAAAAATGTAACTGTATACAAATGAAATATATACAAAGTCTCGTTTTAAGAATACATACTTGAATTCGTAATAAAAAAATTATAATTTAGGTAAACCAAATAATTTTGTTAGGTACTGAGAACACATTTCTTGAATAATTTTGCAAATAATTTATATTTTTACAGCCTGTAATTTTTTATTTACAGGTGAATCATTTAGACCAATATTTATTTTCTCCTTTTATTTTCTGTCCAAATTTATATATATAAAAAAATATTAAGAGAGTTCAAAATTAATCTAAACCGTTTTAAATCATCAAATTGATAAGGAAAAAAAATCATATTTTTCTTCTTTTGTAGTTTGATTTAAATTTTCATTCGTATTTTAAAAAATGATCAAACTCACAAGCATATTAATCTTATATTAATTTTACTATTATATATTCTTTTATAAATACAATCTAAAATATATTTTATTAAATATATTTACATATTAAGGGAATCTCCCAAGAAAAGAAAATTTGAGTTTGAAATATAACTATGTGAATGTCCAAATCATTAATATCGAGAACATTATAGAAGTTAATTAGGTAAAGCTGAAGCAGAAAAATATATATATAAAGAGATAATCTTGTGAATAAAATAAAAAAGATTTTATGTACTTTTTTCCCCTGCTTATTACATTGAAAATAGAAAAAAAAATAAAGAAAATAAAAAGCACATCAACACACAAAAGATGTTGAGAAACATCACAAAAAATTTATTTAACTTGTTTAGTGGACAAATATTTATTTTACAAATATAATTTTTGAAGATATATATATATATATATATATATATATATATATATTGAGAATAAGATTATTACAAGTTGTCAAGGAAAACAGTAAGAAAATTACTTAGAGTGTTAATGGATGGACGTAGCTATTGGATTTAAAGATTAACCAAAATAAATCATTATATTTTATTTTTCCGTCCTATCTATCACATATTTAAATATTAAAAAAATAGGTCCTTTTTAAAGAAAACAAATTCAACTCCTCTTTCTGTTTTCAAAGTTATTTATTATGTTTTTTAAATAAAATTTAAGATTATTATGATTTATAATTTGAAGTTTAAATTATATTATAATTTATGATGAGATACGATATTTGAAATTATATTTTAATTACTATATATTTAATTTTTTATTTAATAAACATTGTTTGTTGAATAAAAAATAGTTATGAAAATAATTGATATAATTAAGACTCTATTCATAATCTAATTAATAAATTTATTTACTATTAAAAATTAAAGTTGTGGCCTTAAACAATAAAGAAAAACAATATGACAAAAATTAAAAATATTGATCCAATTGAAAGGTAAATATTGTTTAGATTGGTTCGATTTTAATAGTATTCTTAAACTTGTTTAAAATGAGTCAAACATTTTATTTATAATTGATTTTAATATTATTTTTTTTGCCTTAAAATTGATTTAAATTGAACTAAAGTTAGCAAAATGACCGACCCAACCCATTTAGGCTAGGCCATTTCAGCTTATAAGCTCATAAAGTCTATTTTCTCATTTAGCGATAACAAGGTTTAACAAAGTTTGCTAACAAAGCTTCATTGGATTAGTTTAAGCTCATGAAAATGATTTTTAAAATAGATAATTTATTTTTTTCAGACTTAATTAGATCGAATTAAAAAATTTAGATTTAATTTAAAGTCAAAATTTAAAATTTAAATCCATATTTCATTTAACAAGTTCAAATTTGCTTAATTGAACGTTAGCTTAAAATCAAACTATGAATATCTCTAAAAAAATTATATTAAAATGCAAAGAAAGATAAAATACAATTATAAAATCTTCATGATTTATTTAGGAAGATAAGTAAAAATGAGATATATATATTTTTTCATGACACACAGGAAATCCCATTTGTAGGGCTAAATTAGGATTTAGGACGAAGAGATATTTTTCATTTTTTAAAATAATTTTCTCATAATAAAAACAATAAATAATATTATAATAAGAAAATAAAATTAAATGATTTATTTTTTTGAATTTAATATTTTTAAATAAATTTGATTTCTTTTGAAATATTTTCATATTTTTTTATTTATACATAATAATAATAATAATAATATATTAATAATAATAATAATATATTATTATTATTATTATTATTTTATTCCTTTTTTTTTCCTCATAATTTCACTCATCAGGCAAATAAAGCACAAAGCTTTATAATCCGCAATGGAAATTGAGTTGAGAAGAAAACACAAAGATGATTGTGATGAGTGATGACCTGAGGCTGAGACCTAACGCGGCTGTTTGAGGCGGTGCGCGGCTTCGGTTTTCGTTAGTATTCTTTTGCTGTCAAAATTTTGATTTTTCAAAGGTATCATATCAGATTCACTTCCTCCTCTTCAAATTCACCCACTTTTGCCAAAAGGGTATTTCCCATTTGATGTTTTTCATGCTTAATTTCTCTGTTTATTGCTTCCTAACTGACTTTTTCTTTTACTTTATTTTTTCACTCAGTATTTTTTTTTTTCTATGTTAACAGTTCTATTTTTTTGTTTTGGGTTGTTTTGATTTTGATATTTTAGTAGGATATTTTGAATAATGATTCTTATTTTTTAATTTTTGCTCATGGAATTAGGCTTGAATTTTTCTGAAGTAAACCACTAACGAGATTGAATTAGAACCATGAAACCTGTTGATTGGGAGCAAGAATTGAATAAGTATCAGAATATTATGGCCTCAGGGACCAAGTCTATGAAAATAAAAGCAATGGTCATGCTGGCCCGTTTCTCCAAACATGCCCCTGAGCATGTGTTATCTTGCACCATTCCCATTCTCACTGAGATTCTTGGTGATGCTATTTCAAATGATTCCGCTCCTTCATTTCAAGAGGCTGCTGCTTATTGCTTGAAGTGTATTGCTTGTAGAGGAAATGGTCAATTGGCAATTGAAATTGCTGAACACGGTGCCGCTCATTCTTTGATGAGGTTGTTGCCTCATTCTGATGGAAGGATGAAGAAAGTCCTGATGAAGTTTTTGCTGGTTATTGTTAGTTTTTGTGAGGAAAGTAGGATAGTGGTTGCTACCAATGGTGGGGTGGAAATCATAATCAGTTTGTTGAATTCTTGCACTGATGATACTCGGTGGTATTTGTTAGAGATTTTGAGTGTGTTGGCATTGAGGAGGGATGTTAGGAAGGCGCTCGTGAGATTTGAAGCTCTTAATTTTGTTGTGGAGGCTGCTGGTGTTGGGAGCATAGTCTCTAGGGAAAGAGCTTGTCAAGCAATTGGGTTGCTTGGAGTCACGAGACAGGCTAGGCGTATGCTTGTTGAATTGGGAGCAATAGAGGCGCTTGTGGAATTGTTTCATAATGGAGATTACACCACGAAACTTTTGGTTGGTAATTCTCTTGGTGTGATATCTGCTCATGTTGATTACATTAGACCAGTTGCTCGAGCTGGGGCTATCCCACTTTATGCTGAGCTTCTTCAAGGACACGATCCTTCTGGTAAGGAGATAGCCGAGGATGTGTTTTGTATATTGGCTGTTGCAGAGACTAATGCTGTAGAAATTGCGGGGCATTTGGTGAGAATCCTTAGAGAAGGTGATGATGAAGCAAAGGCATCTGCTGTTGATGTGATGTGGGATCTGTCAGGTTACAAGCACTCTACATCTGTGGTTCGGAATTCAGGTGCAATTCCTATTCTTGTGGAGCTTTTGAGGAATGGAACTGAAGAAGTAAAGGTGAATGCTTCTAGGGTGTTTGCTCAGTTAAGTTATGATGGGGAAGACAGAATGGCATTTGCTGGTGCAGGGGCAATTCCAATTCTTATTGACTTGATGAACGATGTTGATGATGTTGACGAGGTTGAGGAACTAGGGCATAATGCTGCAGAGGCTCTTGTCAATTTTTATGAAGATCCATTGTATCATGACAGAGTATCTGATGCAATTAATGTTCCTTTGTTCAGAAACATGCAGAATAGATTAATTCTTATTCGTTCATCAAATGAGCATATGGCTAGATCCTTACGAAGGATGAGTGTTGAGCAGCTCACTCGAAACCTAGATCTTGTATAATCGTTTTAAGGGTATGTTTTGATCTCATAAATCCTTTGCAAAATAGGGATCAATCTCGAGTTATTTTAGTTTAACCCTCGAGTATAGACTTGTGTTGTCATGAGAATTGGGTGAGGGGGGGCGGGGGTATCCCTTAGCCTGAGAGAGAACTTTCCAATGCAAAGATAATCCTTGATAACTTTGCTGTATATTTCTAGAAGTTTGCATACACACATATAAAGGAGTGAGCAGATAACCTTGTACTTGTAGGAAAGTGCTTGAATTTGTATAATTTTGCTGCCAAATGTCAACCATGATGTTATCAGTAATAATGTTATTCTGAATCTCTGATGAATCAGAAATAGCCATTCCTTTTATTTGTCTCCTTGTTTGATCCAGCCACAAGGACACTTGCATTTTGGCTCTCTTGCCTAAATCATTTTGTAAAATATTAGCCATTATTTTTGAATTTTCCTTAGCTTCTTTAGTGTGTCTACATCCTCCATAAAACTCTACCACCCCATTGTTTTCATTTGGGCTAAGGCAATGCTTCATCTGTGTAGAGGATGGACCCTTAAGTTCTACTACCCTACTTATACAGCTCAACCGTTCTTAAACTCTTTATTTGGGATCTTCTGGCTTTAATGCAAGATTATATCATATTTAAAAGGTCGTCCATTTTTTTAATTTAAAGAGTCTTGAAGATTGAAAGAATGGAAAAAACACTTTTTAATTTTTTAATGCTTAATGCATATGATAATTTTGATAAGTTTGTTTTTTAACTTTGAAGATGAAATTGGATGAATAGTCACTATATAAGAGTATGAATAAATTTATCTACAAGCAATTGTGTGAAATGGGAATAGGATGTATTAAGAAGGCGCAATAAATCAACCTTTTTTTGTAAGTTAAAATTGATTTGTACACTTCAATTTTTCAAAAATTTTATAATTTAATTCTTTTAACAAGGACTTGTAAATCTATTAGAACTCAATCTAGTTAACCCAACTCAAAAATGAAAAAATAAATCAAATTATCAAATCAATGAGAGAGCGTTGGACTTGTTGTATATCTGTTTTCTTTTTCAGTTGTCTTGTTTTACTTAATAATTTAAAAAAATATATTTTGTTTTTTTTCCAAATTTTTCATAAAATTTTGGAAATAAGGAATAACAAAAATAATATACAAACAAAACTATTTCTCCCCCGGTTATGAACACTCTTTCAAATCTAATACAATAATGACACCACAAAATAGTATTGCTAATTGTAGCCAGCGGACAGTAATGACAAACATTAATCTATAGAAAGTTGACTCTCATTTTTTTATCTGTATGATGCGTCTCTAAATCAGCTCAATTTCCTTGTTACTCTAAATAAATAACACAAATTATATAACTAGAAAAAGACTTTTGCATGACAATAAAAAAGAAACACAAAGAAAAAGGCTTTTGTGCCTCTTACAGGTAAAACAAGTATGTCTATGATGAACAAACATGTAGAACTTTCAAATCTTAAAGTTTGTCATAATTGTACTCTAGCTATAATTAGAAAAGGGTATTTTTGTGGTGTCAATGTAAATGCATATCTAACCATATTTGACACCATTATTGTATAAGCTTATGAAAGAGTGATTCATGACCGAGGGAGAATAAACATACTTAAACCAAAAGCTAAAGGGATATATTTGTGAATGTCTCTAGTATACATGATAGCATATAAATCCTAACAACTGTTACATTTTCTTTTCACCAATTTAGGGGCCTTGCGAGTTACTTCTTTGGTCTCCAACATTTCATGACCACCATTTATTCGTCTAAACTGAACAGTTGTTACCTTTCTGGCATTTCCTGATAAAATCTGCGCCAAACAAAATAGAAAATAGCAAAAAGAAAAAGTGAGCCTCTAGATTTAGCTTCTCATTTTGTTTTTGTTTTTTTTTTAAAAAAAAACTTATTCTCGTAAAGCATATTAGATACAACAAGAATCTTTATAAACTATGAACAATGCAATATATGAAGTTATCATATTATTACGTGGTCCTTGTATTATAATCATATTACTTTCTCCGTTCTTTGAAATAATTAACATAATAATTTTTAAAAAATTAATTGTAACATTTTAAGTTTCCTCTTATGTAAAATTAAACTTCATTATAATATTAATCGTTAAGAAGTTAGAAAGGTTTAACAATAAAAACTAAATGTAAAATAATAAAGAAAAAAATCTTAAAATTTTGTAAATGGTCCTACGAATAAAAGTCTTTAAAATGTTATTAAAGGACTAGAAGGAGTATTAGGCTAATACTCTTTAACATTAATTATGCGCTCCATTCAATTCTTTGCACTTTGCATATATGGGAAACAGAAGTAAAAAATCAAAGTGACTTCTTTAAATGATGAATTCCAGTTAACAACAAAGAAATTACCTCAAGTTTGAGAGTCTCTTTCTGATTCTTGTGGTCAGCATTAGACACACCATTATCATTATCATAATTTTTCCTCTCAAGAACCACTTCAATGCTTTCACCTTCCATTGGAATGTATCCAAATTTTTCACATACAAAGCCTGATACAGTTTCGTATAGGTGCGTATAGGTGTCCCTGAAATAATAGAAGCAAAATATTAAGAGCTAAACAATTTGAGTGGTTTGCAACTTTGCATAGATAATTTCAACATGAAGCCATTATTGTCTCCATCTTAAGTATTCACAAATTGATTATTGTTAACAGCAAAGTCTCTTAAAAAATGCTTGATTATGTTTTTAGTCTATATTTTTATGAGATTTTGATTTTACTTGATTTTCCTAAATTCAACATTTTTGGTCTTTTGCGATTATGTGACTAACAAAGAGATTACAATGTGTCAATTTTAAGAAAAGTCAGCGACCAAAATTAAAAAAAAAAATGATTAAAATCAAAATCTTGCAAAAATATACGAACCAAAAACATATTTAATTCAATAAAAATATGCAAGACCTGAGTTTGTATCAAGCAAGAAATTTGCACTAACTCCAAGCAACTAATGTAAGTTTGATAGAACCATAATCCCAAGCCCTTCAGAGATAAATATGCAAGTTGCATGTATATAAAATAGTGAACCTCAGGCATCTTAATGTTCAAATATTCAGAGAGCTGATCAATAGATGTCTGGGCATCCACATCAAATACACCCTCCGCTTGCATTTTTATGTTGCCAGTTTTTTTCTGAATCTCTTCCACATCAAATACATCAAATTATGTAATGTAAATTCCACACACAAATCAATGTAGATATTTGCAGCAAACGGTAGCAGTAACCAACAATTGAAAGAAAATGCACAAACATTTACACTGAGCTTTACCTTTGAGTCGTTTTCATCAAAGATTTCACCAACAATTTCCTCAACAACATCTTCCGGAGTTACAATCTGTAAAACGGCACATAAATAATTATATACAATAATACAAATCAGCTCTCTAAAATTGTCGGAACTCATGGGCAGACAACATAAAATAGAATTCAGACAACTTAAAAAGGGTTTGTTTACAGTTTAATTAACTTCGCCTAAGAAGTAAGCCTTGCAGTTTTTTATTTTTATTTTTTATGTAGTTTTTCAGTCATTCATGAATATTATTCCACAATGATAGCATAGCATATTGCTATTGTTATATTTACTTCCCTTTCCACTATTATAGATGCGAAATAGTATGATATATCTTTAGTTAAGTACATATTTTCTGCATCAAATATTCATAATTAATGTCAAACACATGGATCTAAGTTGAATTCCAAATTGGTGTTGAGTGTTGACTTACTCCCACAGTTCCTCCATACTCGTTACAAACAACAGCCATGTGAACCTTCTTGAATCGGAAGTCTCTCAGAAGATCCCAAATGGACATTGAATCTACAAAATAAGTACTAAGAACTAATCATTCAACATATTATAATAAACTAAACAGGTATAAAATACTTTCCTCTTAAACTAATCCTCCATGATGACATAAAGGAGGCATATACTACATTAGCCACAGAAAGTACTATCAGAATTTTTTTTCCACACAAACTCAAGAAAGAAAGAAGTTACCAGGCACAAAATGTACAGGGTCGTGAGCCAATTCTTGAACAGCAGTAGTATCTAGTACCTCACCCTTCAAAATCAAACAAATTTTCATTCAGTAAACAATGAGATTAGTAAATTAAATTAATAGGCAAAGCAATTATAACTCTAAACATAACGTTTAAGGACTAAAATTTCCACCGAACCTTCTGAAGAAAATCCAGCAGATCCATAGCATATGCAATACTGATTATATGATCAACAAGTTTCTCAAAAACAGGTATCCTAGGAACACATCAAAATCCAGTTACCACATTGGAAAAACTAAAATCAAAGTCAATGTGAAGCAATAAAGTCTATAAATACCTTGAGTACTGATTTTCACTCCACATGTTTTGAAAATCGACTAGACTAGCACTTGCATCAATTGCAACAACATCAACAAGAGGGGTCATAACCTCTCTGACTCGTGTTACTTTTATCTCCAGCACATTTTCTATCATATCCTATAAACTATATTATATAGCTTTAATAATAAAGTATTTTTTTCTTCAAGTGTAGTGAAGTAGCATAAAGATTAACACAGCACATATCAATTTATTTTTACAGAAGGGACTAAAGAAATTAAAATTGCAATATGAAAAAAAAGTTTTATAACGTTGACAGATTCATGAAATTTCATTTTCTTGAAAAAAGAGACAGATATTGAATGTATAAAACGAAGAATGGATATTATTATTATTTCTAGATCAATAAACATAATATTCATTACCTGTTCTTCCTCCTCTATTGCCCCACTTAATTCTGCACCTCTTACCATCAATTTTAGCTCTTCCTCAGTAACATATGGCTCACTGACACAGTAAACAAGGATCGTTAGTATGGAATTTTGAATGATTCAAGGAGAATGTCCATAACGATAACTGCAATATATGAAAATATGTTTCCGTATGACGTTATCAAATAATCCACAGTTAGCTTCCCAAAAATATAATAGCATCCTAAATGGAAGAGTTTCTCATGGACTATTTTAAGTTACATAAAAGTTAAAATAAGTTGGTTAATCAAAGGTTGTTCTTTAGAAACAGAATGGGAAAATACACATGATTATATTTTTGTTAGCAGTATACTAGAATTATAGTTCAACAGCATAAAGAAAAAAAACTTCACTGCCTTATGCATTTTGATTTTGACCAAATTTTGAATCCATTAAATTCCACCAATAATTAAGAAAAAGGGAAAAAAATTACAAGTAGCAACCCGTACATAATTGTAATAATTGACTTTCTCAAGTAACACCCTTTGCAATGACTTTTAGGTGTCAGATTAACATACAACTCAACCATAAAAAATGGACAGGTAATGCGAGTGCAAATACGAAATATTTTCCCCTCTATGAAGAGACTAATTCTTCACTACAGAATAAATTAGACTTAGTAAAAACATTAGCAAGAAGCAACAGTATTAAACAAGAAAATATCTCAAGATGAATAATTTATTTTAAGGCTGTGTTTTCAGCATACCTTCTTGCTTTTATGCCAAGCAATTTTAGTATCCCCACTGAGAGATATGTTACAACTCTTCCTACAGGGTACAAAACCAGGGAAAGCCATGCCACTGGCTTCACCTGGACACATCAGAACCAATATTTATTATAAAAAGAAATTAAATAAAAAGATCAAGTACATTCAAATGTATAATCTTCATAATTTCTGATTTCCAAGGATTATTAAAGGAATGTAAAGAAAATTACAACTTACCACTATCCGAGCCACTTCTGTGGCATTATGAACTGCTAAACTTTTTGGAGTGATCTCAGTGAGAAGCAAAATGGCAACCTTGTTAGATTATGGAGAGTAGAATCAAGAGATAAATTAAATATTTGTGAAACTCTACAAAGACACATTTCTACGGACATTTATGCACAAACTTGCATACTTATTAGCATAACAAGATAATACATTCAAGTAATGAGAATGTTTTGGTATATAACATCCTATTATACAAGAAACAGTTTATAATCAGAATAAAAAAATAAAAATTAAATGGATACTGTAGCATGAATAATAAACATACAGTCATCACTCCAGTTGCTGCACTAACACCAGCTTCGCCAAATACTGCAGTTGCAGCTTCTGTGACCAGAGCTGTTGCTCCAATATTAACCACACTGCATACAATAAAATAGCCTAAAATAAGAAAGAGGAATACATTGAATATATAATAATTTTCAATGAACACATATCAATGAAAGTTCAAAGGGGAATTATACGTTGTGCCAATAAGTATGGTTGTAAGAAATCGGGTAACATCACTTCTGAGTAGTTTGAAGACTCCATTTTCGGACTCCTTTTCAGCTAACTCACGAACCTACAATTACATCAACAATTATTTGACTTCATGAATTTGATTAGGTAAATTATTCATACGGTAATGCAACTAAATGCCCAAAAATGCAGGGATACTAAAGAAGTGGAAAACATTTCTGAAAGGAAAGGGAAATAATATACCACTTAAGGCTTAAATCAGTAACACTTAATTTCCTCAAAAATATGTAGTTGAGTTAGAGAGATCAAATGCTTAAGTGGCACTGTTAAAAGTATTCACACTCTTCAGTCAATTTATGTATTACAATAAATAGGTGTATGAAGAAGTATAATGCTACTAATATATCAAAATTCTATATCAAAGGAGAGAGATAGGAAGAGAAGATAGAGAAGGGTGGGATAATATAGATGGAACAATGGAGAGAGATAGAGAGAGAAAAAGAGTTTGAAAATGCGTTGTGAGAAATTTAAGTAGCTCTAGCATTATTATATAAAGAATCAACTAAACATGTAATTTGATCCTCCAAATGGTCAATTTGATGTCAAAATTTAACATTGAAGGACCATTTTGATGTGTTTACCGACTTGTTTTGCATAAGTGTGTTTAAATTTAAGACAAATATAAAAGAAATAAAAATTATTCAAGAGAAAAGTTTTAAGTTAAAAACAAGACATGTATAATTAATTCAAGTAAAAATTGAGAAGTATAGAATATAAAATTAAAAGTATTCAAACTATAAAGAACATATTCACAAATTTAAAAAATATTTTGAATTTAAAATTGAAAATAAAAAGGAAAAAAAAAATAATGTGTTACAGTAAGGGATTTGTCACTGAATATATTCCTCCCATGAATTACATGAAGACCAAATTGATTACACTTACACCTGTATGTTCTGATAGCAAAAACAAACTTTAGGGGAATAAAACTAGTAATGCTTATAACAATGTAGCATTCTAACAAGAGAATTAAAAAAGTAAAGTGATACCTTCCAAGGCCAAAGGGTGGTAATTGAAGTCTCTGCCATTGAGAAGAAAGCAGAAAGAGCCAAAAGGAGAGTCAGTACCAACCCTTGCTCCTTAAATATCATAAAAACTGGCAACACTTTGGGCCATGCATTCCTAAGAAACAGTTTGCTCTTCTCTACAATAGTCAACACATACTACAATGCCAAGGCTGGTTTACATCCAAACACCAATATTCCACAAACAGTTGCAGCCAAAATGATCATCATCCTCTTCAGTAACTCAAGAAAAAAGTTTAAATTCCACTTGAAAACATTATTGTTTTCATTAGAACATTCACTACTTCTATCCAGACATAAACATCCCATGCCACTTTTTCCAAACACTATAAAATCATCCTCCCTACGACCAAAAACCAAAGAGCCTCCAAATGTGCATGTTTCAATACACTTCGGCATTAAGGGTAATGAGTATCCACTATTTTTGGCCAATGCTTTAATCGGTGTTCTCTTTGGCCAATTTTCATGCTGAGTGCAAAGTACCCTTGAGTCAAACTTGAAGACTGGTCGACCCAAAACAAAAGGTTGAAATGCCATCTCTAAATGAAAATTACCCAAGAAATCAAAATCAAATTTTGATGCATAAGAATTTGAGAAAGAAAAATCGTTGAAATCTCAATTGAAATTGGTACTTTTCCCTAATCAAAGTCGAGCTGGATGAAACTATTGAACGAAACTTTTAAAACTAATGAAGTGACACTGACAAATCATTTCATTACATAATTTAGGGTTATTTCAATTTTAGGTAACGTGTAATCTAGTTATATTATCGGTTAATTATTAGTTTTAAGCTCATGCGATTTGTTTATATACGAATTCCTCAAAAAAAAAAAAATAATCGTTAAATTTTAAATATAATATTATAAGAGATTATTATGTATATATATATATATATATATATATATATATATATAATATTATAAGAGATTATCTTCAAATTTATTCATAAGAATTTACGTTAAAAATGATATATGTACATAGTAACAAACTTATACTTACATGCTTATATATCATATATAAGCATGCATAACAAGTATTTTTTTTTTCTTCACAAGGAATGACTTAAATGAAAATACTTAGTTATCATAAAAATAAAAATAATAAATATAAACTATCAAATGTTATTTAAAAGATCAAAGTTAAAAAAAATGCACATAACTTTGGCAAATCTATACTTTGACAAACACAAGGTGGCTGACCCAGTGCTTATGGAAGTGTAGTACTCCCTATTTTTCCTAAATGTACTTGAAGGTACTGTGTGTAACCAAATTTATTAGACATAAATTTATTTGAAAAATTGCTAACAACACACTGTTAAACAAAAATTTATTAAAAATTACAGAGTAATATGAAAGAGAAACATTAATTTAGATGTGAGAAAAAGAAAAATTTACATAATATTTGTAATTTTTAATTGGTTTTAGAAAAAAAAAAAGTGGCAAAAATAGTGTATTAGAGAGTTAATTAGTTACCATTCTTCAAATTTGTATATATCTCAAACAATTCACCAAAGCAAAAGTAATTTGACTTAATTTCTAATATTTATTTTAAAGCTATACCTATTCGAATGAGCGTTGAAGTTAAATCAACTATTCGTGACAAACAGTGAGTCCCATTCAAGTCTCTATAAGACTACAATAAAGTGTAAGCATCAAAATCTATGCCCAAGACCAGTGAATTTATATCATCACAAACAACATATGTGATTCATGACTAATTCCAATTCAATACTAGTTCAATTTCCAAAACCAGAGTTTGATCTCCTTGTGTATTCTGCGACTAAATGAGCAAGAGATGAAGATTTATTCTTAAGCAGTTTCTTTGGTGAATCATATTCCTCAATAAGCCCTGCAGGATCAATATGAAGAAAAATAATATTAATATTTATGATGAGGAAAAGAAGAAAGAAAAGGTGACAAAAAAAAGAAGGGTAAGAAAAAAAGTTATGCTCACCTTGATTTAGGAACAGAACCATGTCACTATCAAGGATTGAAGTTATCCTATGAGCAATGGTAATGACTGTGCATCCTGAGAAATGTTGCTTAACTGTTTGCTGAATAATATTATCTGTGGCTGCATCAACTGATGCAGTAGCTTCATCTAGAATCAAGATCTTGCTTTTCTTCAGTAGAACGCGGCCAAGGCAGACTAACTGCCTTTGACCCATACTCCAATTTTCTCCATTCTCAGTAACTGCAAAAACTCATAATGATAAGTAACACATTCTTATTTCTAATTTCTTACTACACTTAGATATATAACTGTGACTTGTAACACAGGTTATATATATATATTCAAAGTTTCGAGGAGTCTAACCCATGGAATCAAGCTTCCCTTCTTTTTTCCTTACTTCCTCTCCAAGTTGGCACATATCTAAGGCCTGAAATATAAAATAAATTAACATGTATGTATGATTTGCATCAAAGAGACAAGTTGTTATATTAACTACATAGAGGGAGAGCTTTGCTGCCTATAGTAACTCTACTCGGCTCAAACAGGATTATCTCCAATGGAGAATAGCTGTGGTCTAGACAAAAAAAGAGTCAAGTTCTTCATAGTGTCATATAAGCTACCAAATTACCTCCCAAATCTGTTCATCTGTGTACTCTTCCAGTGGGTCCAGGTTGCTTCTTACAGTCCCTTCAAACATTGTTGGATCCTGAGGAATAATGCTTAGTCTAGACCGCAAATCATGAATTCCAATCAAAGAGATGTTGATGCTATCTATCAATAATTGTCCAGCAACAGGTTCAATGAGCCGGAATAGTGTTTGAACTAGAGTTGATTTTCCACTTCCTGTTCTTCCCACAATACCAGTTTTTGCTCCAGCAGTAAAAGTGCAAGTAAGACCGCGTAAAACAAGAGGCAAGTGAGGAGCATATCGAACCTGTTTTGAACACTTTATCATTTAGGGTGTATACCATATAAAAACCAGGACAGACTCGCAACCGAGAGAATAATATAATCGTAGGCTTCAATTTAGAATATAACAAATGAATAACCTTTGAAATGTACCTGTAAATCCTGAATATGAACCTCTCCAAATGATGGCCATGAATGATCTGGTTGATGGTCTTTTATTACAAGAGAAGCTTCACTTGGGATGGAGGTGTATTGGAGTATTCTTTCAACAGATATAATTTTGTTCTCCACATTGCAAAGAAACCAGATTATTTTAAATTGTATTGAGTTTAGATTTAGTCCATATGTCACAGCCAACCCCGCAATGCCTTCACAAAAACAAAATTGAAGTAAATAAGGAATGGAGTTTTATGCTTAGTGTCTTAAAGATTAAGGTACGACCAGTGAATATATATATATATATATTTGAAGCACTCACCAGGAGTAGTAATTGAATTTGGAAAAGAAATCAAGAAAACCAAACAGCAGGCAAATGTTAAAGTGGACAAAAAATCCAATCTGAAACACAGCCACTCTATTGCAGTACTACTGTACAATTTGGGTTGGGAATATCTGTCTATCAATTTCATATTTATGTCATTAAACCTTGATTCTTGCTCAAAACTTCTTATGGTTGTTGCTCCAGAAATTGTTTCAGAAAAATGTTGTATAACTGGAGCTTGGCATGTACCAACTAATCGTGCCAATTCCCTTGCTGATGCAGAATAATATCGCTGCATTGAATGAAGCAATCTGTTAGTATACATAATGATATTGTTTGCACAATAATATCGGTCAAATTCATTTTTTTTTCTTTTTCTTCCTCTCTAAACTTCAAATAATGTGATGAAATTAACCGCAATACTTAATCAATGAGGAAAACGTGTACCTTGAAAAATAAAATAGGATGGATGAAAGTCAAAATCAAATTCATTTGGTGACATTTGATGTTAGTGGCATATATGATATAGGATTATAGCTTCGAAATTATTTAGGAAACTACCTGGTACCATATACATGCTGCCATGACAGGAATCAATACTATTAACACCTGCCATGTGGCTTGAGACATCACCACAATATTTCCAAAGAGTTGAACTACATTGAAGGTAACTCCCCAAAATAGATTTCCAATGCTCATATCTAGTGTGCTTTGATCTGTTGAAGCCTGAAACAAAAGGCATACCTAATATTTAGACAACAATGGCATTAAAGAATAATGCACTAGCCATATGATCAGGTAAATAATTTGTCTATTCAAATTAAATTATAAACATATTATGACATACTCTGTTAAGGATTCGCCCACTTGGGGTGGCATCAAAAAAAGATATTGGTGCTCGAATAAAGCAGAAATGCATTTTATTGAAGAGTGTAGTGGCTGTCTTGTATCCAGCTAATACAGCAAGAAATGCTCTGAAGAGGGTGAAAATGGAACTTCCACTTGCCAAAGCAACATAGACAACCATAAGTGTAACACTGTCAATATCAGGTTCTGCTGTTTCTGAAACAGGAGTTGCCAAAGTCATCCAATAATTGCTTGCTATCTGAAAAAACACAGTGAGTGTCTGTGAAAGTAATATGAAGGGTAAAAGAGCTCCCCCATAAGCTGATGTTATGTATTTCCAGTAGACTCTAAACCCAACTCGACCTGTTTCGCGTTCTTCTTCTTTAACAAGTTGGCCTTTGGGCTCAACTGCATCATCTGACTTGTCACCTTGATCATCTATGTTTTCCACATTGTTCTCAAGTTCAAAATCACTTAGCAAATTTGTGTCATCCTTGGAGATACTTGATGTTTTAAATGTTGGTTTTCTTTCTAAGGACTTAATTGAAGACAAAGCTTCTCTATGTGCACCTACAAGTTCCATAAAATCAGTCCCTGCCCTGAGAATGTCATTGTATTTTCCTGATTGAGTAATCCTTCCTTCTCTCATGACCTAAACAAATTGTATGCAAGCGTCAAATATGTAGTAAATTGACTAAATGCATATATTTGGATTTTTGAGTAAGAAATCTATGAATCACTCACCAATATTAGATCAGCATCAGGTAAGAACTCTACTTGATGAGTGATGTATATCACAGTTTTTGATTTTAAAAGGCCTAGCAAGCATTCCTGATACAGTGTAGTGTAAATGTAAAATCAGATGAGTTTGTCCATCCAAATGCAAGACAAAACTAGTGTAATTGTATAGATGTATCCATGTCCACAATATACAGTTGAAATCTATAGAAATCAGATTCATAGAGTTCCAGGAGACCTTATTATACAAGCCCATAACAATGGAAAGAAGGATTTATTTTTAATTTTTATACACAACTTTTGGAGACATCCAAACTCACTCACTCAGTTAATTTTGAGTCACTTCGATAATACATTGAACTAAATACTCTTTAAAGTTCAGAATGTCTAGAAAGGTTCAAAGATTGTGTAAAAAATTTGGAAGTCTTAAATTAGCTTACCAATAAAAACAACTAGATTGCACGGAAAACAATAGAGTTTAGAAAAACAATAGTACCTTAAAAAGATGTGATCCTGTATGAGCATCCACAGCACTGAAGGGATCATCAAACAGATATATGTCAGCATCTTGGTATAGAGCACGGGCTATTTGTACTCTTTGCTTCTGTCCACCACTCAAATTGATTCCCTTCTCTCCAATAATTGTCTGATCACCAAACGGTAGAATCTCAAGGTCTTTTGTCAAGGAACATGCTTCTAGCACCTTCTCATACTTTTCCCTGTCCATCTCTTTACCAAATAATATGTTGTCTTCTATCTTTCCACTCTGTATCCATGGCGATTGAGCAACATAAGCCTTTGTTCCACACACCTTCAGTGTCCCAGATATCTTTGGTACTTCACCTATTATACAAGAAAGTAAACTAGACTTGCCTGATCCAACAGTACCACAAACAGCAACCCTCATACCATGAAAAACTGTGAGATTTATATTTTTCAATGTTGTATTAGGAGAAGATATATCCCAAGAGAAATTTCCATCTACTACTTCAATTGCTATATCAGAACTACCTGGTGGAAGTTTCTCTACTACATCAGTCTGCAAGTCATCTAGACGAAGAAATGATACTATCCTATCAAGGGAAACCTTAGTTTGTGTAATCATTGAAATTGTGTCAGGAAGACTATAGATGGGCATTTGAAGAATTCTGAATGTTGCAAGTGCTGATAAGACCTTGCCTGATTCAAGTGGGATTCCAACAAGAACACAAGTACCGAAAGTAACCACAGCAATAAAAGTTGGCGCATTATGGAAGAGAAATCTAATAACTGCTGTGCCAACTAGAAATTTTTTTAGCCATGTCTCCTCAGTCTTCCTAAGCTCAATAATCTTTGATAAGAACTTCATCTCCCATGCCTGCAATTTTAGAATCCTCATGCTCTTTAGAATCTCAGATGTTGCCTTCATTCTTTTATCTTTGAACTCCATTACCTTACTTTGGAACTTTTCTTGCAATGATGACACAGGAAGGTTTAATAACATCACAATTACAGTGGCAGCAAGAGCAGCTATTGAAGCAACCCCTACACTCCTATATAGAATTAACAAGGCCAAAGAAACTTGCAGAACACACATCCATGGATCATGCATGTACCAACAAAATTCACCAATCCTTGCAGCATCAACAGTCAATAGGTTGATGATTTCACCACTACTGCGACCCTCCTTCCATTGACATGAAAGAGTCAAACCTTTAGCATAGATCATTGCCACCAACATTGATTGCATCCTAACTCCAACCTGTTGGAACCTAAACATCCAATGCCTCTGTGAAAGACACTCCACAATCTTTGCAGCGACAAATGCTACAGTCAAAACATATCCTTCATTTTTAAATTTTTCTTCCCCATTGATGTATTGAACAAGGATGTCAATAAGATAGGGTCCAACATAAGAAGCAAATGTGTATAAGAATGCAAATAAACCTGATAAGAGAACCCCTTGCCATGTTGACAAGAATAACACCTTCACCAGCTTAAAAGTGGTCACTCTCCTAACACTACCACACTCTGACTCAAGTTTGTTTCTAAAAGTTGGGAAAGTCCCATAAGCACTATCATCAGTAGCTAGCAGTGGAAGGTCCTCATGGTCTAAAGTCTTCTCATTGCCTAGAGTTATTAATGGACTAACCCAAGAGAAAGTGAGCATGCTGAAAAATCCAGCATTTGAATAAAGGGTTAAATTTTCATTTCCACTAGTCTTATTGGGAGCACAATTGTTGCTTACACTGGAGTCACCATTCAAAAGGGTCTCTTCAAGTGGGGCAAGTTTAGTCACATTGTTAACAGAAAATGCCACATAACATAGAAAAAAACCCATAAAAATGGAACCAGTGTCAGAAACAAGGAATATAATTGGCAAGAAAATATGGTTCCCATAGACAACAAAGTCTATAACAAGGCAACAACAAGAAACAAAGGCAAAAACCCAGCTCCAAATTTTCAACAAACATGGGAAACTCGGTTCATGTGCTTTGAACCTTTTAGAATGCAAATAAGCACAAACAACACCCCAAACAACTGTTCTGAGAGCCAAACCAGAAACTGTGACAAACTCCTGTAAACCATGATGTTTATTATACAAATAAAAGTAGGTTACTATGCACAAAACAAGGTTGAGTACACAAATAACTACGCCAGAAACCAAACTGTGTTTATAGTACAAGAAACCAGTACTATGGAATTCATTTCTTTCATTCTTTCCTCTATGATCCACTCGGACTTTCTTCCATATCCAAAACACAAGAAACACCAGTAACAACACTAGGTGTAGTGAAGCAGACACCCCACGTGTGAAAAAGGGTTGAAGGAAAAACTCAGCTACATGGTGCATTATGGAAGAAGAATAGTGAGAGAAGAGTAAGAATATGACAATACCTTACATTTAAAGAAACAAAAACAAGTAAGAAGCTTCACTTTGGGTTGATTTTTCGGGGTAAAGAAGAGTAAAGGTTGACTTGTTGACTTTGAAGTTAGAATTATTAAAAAAAAATAAAGGTGGCAACTGACAAGTGAGTGACTGATGTCTGAGAGAGAGAGATAATTGGGACTTTGGAAGAGGGCGTTCAAGATAAACACCAAGTTAGAAGAACGGTGAATTTCATTTTTGATGGTCGGAAACTTTGGAAGATGATGATGTTGGCTATTAAGGCAAGATTTCTTTTCAATGGCATATGAATGTCCACCTTGGGCAGAGAGCTAGAATCATATCTTATATATAGTTCAATTTAATTATTGTTGGAGTCAATCAGGGGAATCACGTCTTGTGTATTATATTTATTTTAATATTAAAGAATACCCCTTTGAAACCATTATTACATATTGTTTTAATGTTTGTTTTAGTTGAATAAAAAAGCTTTTTGAATTTCTTATAATAGTCGATTGTACCTATAAGAAAAGCTTCTAATGTTGTCTAATATCGTATCTTTTTCAAAAGGTGTACCAAATATTTTTATATATATAGAAGTGAGCTTATAGAATTTCTTAACTGAAATTAATAAATTTCACATTTCTTAATAACGTCAATGCAGAAAAATTATTAGGCAACTTTATAGGATTTTGTTAAAACAAACCGCATAAAAATTTAATCTAAATTTATTGAAGGTTTTTTTTTTTTTTTAAACTCAAGCCTTTATTAAGTAACATTTTAAGTGGGATCCAATTATATATCACCAATTACATTAAAGTTCAAATATAGAAATGGAACCAAGACATAAATGCGAGTATAATGGATTTTAATAATTAAAATTAATGTAAAAGCATAAATTGCAAGAGAATATTAAAAAAAATCTCTCTCTTCTCTTAAAAAACTACCTCTCAAATAGGAAACATTTTTGCATAAACCATGGAATCCAAACCAATAGTGTATAAATTATATAATTTTTAAAAAATTTAATATATAGTGCAAAACGAATGATTGAGATTACATGAACACAAATAATCAATAAACAGGGCTAATTTGGATGAACAAGGTTAGTGAGATTAAATTAGTGACTATTGCAAGGACTTCACATGGCTCCAAGACATCATTTTCTTTGCAAGCAAATGGTTTTGAACATGTTTGTCGTATTTGGTCTAAGTATCTTTGCTCTTTTCAATTTCAATGCACGCGTTTTGACTAACTTTTGCTTGTTCTTTGTTTGTGTGTGTATCTAAGAAAGCGTCCTACAGTCCCATAAATTTGAAAGATCTGAAAGTAAAAGTAAGTTATATTGTATAATAAATAATATTGATATAAAATAAATTATCAAATTATACAAATATGAGTAATTATTTTTAAAATTATTATTAATATACAACTATTTAAAAATACATAATTTTTTAAAAAATAAGACAACAAATCGGATTAGGATCGATGACCAAGAATATAATGGAAACCTGTCTCCAAAACCTGGAATATTTTTTTTGTTGTTTTTACTATTTCTATCATAAATTCATAATGTGCTAATTTAGGTGGTAAAATCGGATATCATATATTATATATTATATTTTTTATCTTTTATTTTCTTTGTATACACATCTTAAAAATACGCACAAAATATAAAGGACGCCTAAAGTGAAGCATATCAAAACACTTTCCGTTTTTAAAATTACTTTGATATCTTTTTAAAGACTTTCCTGTTGGAAAGTGTTTCCATTTTTAGACCCGAAAAAAATTAATCTATAAAAACTTAAAAATATTTCCTAAATATTATGTTTAAATGTAAAATAACTTTTTCTAGAAGAGCTCCACTGACTATATTTAATTTTTTTTTCCACAAAATTTTCTAAACGAGTAATTATTACATTGTTAAACAAGTCCTGTTTAGTGCTTCAACTTTCTTTTTGGAGAAAGCAATCCAAAGACATTAAAATATGATAAATATGAAAAGAAAATTAGGAGTTGATGTCTAAATGAGAGGTTAATCTTAATTGTCATTCTTGGGCAAAGGAGTTGTTTGTCGATGATGGTTTATTTTAGTTAATGTTATTAATACTTTAAGTACTTCTTAATATTCATATTATTAAACCAGAAATATTTATGAAGAAAAATGAGATATTCAAAATTTATTTCAGCTGTATACTTTTTGAGGCTAAATTCATCCTTGAATAATCTTTGTTGGGTTGTTGCATTTAATAAAATCAATTTCCTAAATATTAGTCAATTTGCAGGGTACACTTCCTTAATCTTAAAGCTGACACAATAAGTTTTCTTCTTGTTATTTAAAGTGTACAATATTATGATATCCTAATAAATACGAAGAAGACAAAGTGATGATTACCATTGTAATTTCCCCAACTTGTTATCATTCAACCAAAAAGAAAGAAAGGAAAAAGATAATCTCTTATTTTGGTTGGTCAAAACTGGAATTGGACCTCGTGGTATACTCAGCAACAAGTTGAGCAAAAGATGCTAATTTGTCCTCTAGCAATCTTGTTGGTGAATCATACTCCTCAATAAATCATATAAAAACGTACATAAAAGAATTTCAGGTCAAACAAAAATGTAACATAACAGGTTTTCTCACCTTGATTAAGTAGTAGAACCATATCACTATCAATGACAGAAGTTATTCTATGTGCAATGGTAATAACTGTGCAATCAGAGAAATGTTGCCTAAGAGTGTGCTGAATCAAATTATCTGTGGCTGTGTCAACTGATGCAGTAGCTTCATCTAACACCAAGACCCTACTCTTTTTAAGTAGCACCCTACCAAGACAAACCAATTGCCTTTGACCCATACAAATTCTCACCATTCTCACTAACTGCAGCATCCATTTTTACATAACCGAAAAGCTCATTACAAAAATATATGTAAATATGTAATATATATTTATATTCAAGAAATTAAAAAGACAAACCGGTAGAGTCTAGCTTTCCTTCTTTTCTTCTAACTTCATCTCCAAGTTGACACTTATCAAGGGCCTATATAAAAGAATGTGAGTGAGTGAAGGCACTACTAATTTTAGGAACAATAATAAGTCCAATAATTTGGATAGAACTGAGTCTTTGTGTGTATTTGTGTGACCGATGAAATCAACATACCTCCCTAATTTGTTCATCTGTGTACTCTTCAAGTGGGTCTAGATTCTTCTTGCAATGCCTTCAAACATGGTTGGATCCTGAGGAATAATGCTCAGTCTAGACCTCAAATCATGAAGTCCAGTGGAAGAGATGTTGATGCCATCAATCATAATTTTCTCAACAGTAGGCTCAACAATTCGGAAAAGTGTTTGTATGAGAGTAGAGTTACCACTTCCTGTTCTCCCAACAATTCCAGTTTTTAGTCCTCCATGGAATGTGCATGTTAGGCCATGCAACACAAATGGCATATGTACAGCATAACGTACCTTCATCAAATGTATATATATCATCATTACAAATGTAGCACCAAAATCAAGTACTAGACTATTTATAATGATTCACATTTAAATGTCTCTAGATCCACATTAATTTTAATGCTACTAGTTGTAGTTTTTGTATTAGATCCATGTTTCCGGGTCTCCCAATATGAACATATTACAAACTTGCTATTCCATGACTCCATGCCATATCTTGCATACGAGGCACACATTTTTCCGTTCAGAAGCTAACTTCTAACCACGAAGGATAAAACACCTTAGCTCAAGTTTAGCAAACTAATAACAAAATGTAAAAATAATAACTCCAGTTACCTGCAAATTGTGAATATCAATCCTGCTTATGATGGCCAAGAAGCATGCGGCCGGTTTTCCTCTACAACAAGCGGAGGCTCACTAGGAATGGTAGTATACTGAAGCATTCTTTCTACTGATATAATTTTGGTCTCCAAGTTGCACAGTTCCCAAATCATCCATGATTGTATAATGTTCAGATCAAGGCCATAGGTTACAGCTAAACCAGCAACACCTTAGAAAACAAGCATGTTCCAATGCCCCTTTACATAAACAAACATACTTTTGACTGGTAAACAAGATACGGAATTTGACTTTTTTACCTGAATTTATGACTCCATGTGGAATAGATATCAAGAATACCAAGCCAAAAACAAATGTGATAGACGACAACATGTCTAATCGGAAGCACAACCATTCCATAGCACCAGCACTATTGAACTTGTGGCGAGAATATCCATCCATCAGTTTCATATTTATTTGCTGAAATCTTGACACCTGATCAAAGCTCCTAATGGTTGATGCACCTGAAATTGTTTCAGAAAAGTGTTGAATGACAGGAACTTTGCATACTCCAACTAAACGTGATAGCTCCCGAGCTGATGGTAAATAATATTGCAAGGACACAAAAGGAACTTCCTATGGCCAAAGCTACATAGACAAGTATAAGCATACTTCCTCCAACAGGTGGCTCAACATCTGTTCAGTTGGGAGTTGCCCAAGCCATCCAATAGTTGCTTCCAATTTGAAGAAGTTGAAACAAAATTTCAGCCAGCAATATGAATGGTACAAGTGCTCATCCTCCATGTGCTGCTGTGATATATTTCCAATAGACTGAAAAACCTACTTTACCTTTCTCCCTTTCTTCTTCTTGAACAAGCTAGCCTTTTGGATCACATTTATCATCTTTTCCACTATTTTGCACATCTTTCTTTACTTCTCTTTCATCAACACCATGAGAAAGAGAGATGCTTACATCCTGTTCTATACTTGTTTTCTCAGATACTTTCCCTCCATCTAGTGAATCAAGAGCAGACAAAGCTTCATTATGAGCACCAACAAGTTCCATAAAATCAGTGCCGGAGTTGAGCAGATCAATGTACTTTCCGCATTGGACAATTTTCCCATCTTTCATGACCTAAACAACAAGGCATAGTTTCATATGAAGTTTATGAAAGAAAATGAGCAAATTCTATTTGAATTAATAACAACACAACTCTTAAAATTGCTTA